AAAAAAAAAAGATGGAGGAATCGATTTCACCTCTGTACCACAATCAACACCTCCGATCATAGTCGTCACCAGCCTCCACTGCAACAACCACCGGCAGCTGCGACACCAGAACCACCACCATCAATCCATACCAAAAACAATAGCAACAAGGTCACTTCCTTCCTTCCTTCCTCTATTTCAATCTCGATTTCTCTTAATGATTGCAAATATACCCACAACATAGAGGAGCATATCGTTTTTTAATTACACAGTAGTGCATGTTCATCGATTTCTTTACAGCCGCCGGAGAATTCAGATTTGGCTGTTGAATCTTTTCCGGCAACCCAGCAAGTAAAGCCACAGTGGAAGTAAATAAAGCCGCTACACGTCAGAGTGAGCATAAATTTGATGAGGTTTCCAATCGATTTGGGTGTTTTGCTTTAGAGTGTGTATGTATGTGTGGGTTCTATAGGAAGAAGAAAAAGACATGGAGAGAGAGAGAGAGAGAGAAAGAGAGAGAGAGAGAGAGAGAGAGAGAGAGACCCTTTATTAAATAATTATATTTTTTTAAATAACAAAAAACTTCATAAATGGTCCCTCTTTTGTGAAATGACGGAAATACCCTTCACTTAACGCCCAAAAGCTAACGGAGTTAGCGAAAAGGACCATTTGTTAAAAGTTTTGAAACCACAGGGACCATCTGTGAGGTTTTTTGAACTTAGGGACTAAACTTGATATTTTTGAAAACCACAGCGACCATTTTTGAAGTTTTGTCTAAAAAAAACATTGTTTTATTTAAAATTTTAAAATAATATAATGTAAAAAACATATATAAAGAAAAACATGACAATATAAAATACAAATAAAAAATGATGAATAAATATGTATTATCAATAATAAATAAAATTTGTTAAAAGAAACAATATGCTAATTTTTCATAAATTTCTAAAAACTTCTTTATATACAAAATTTGAAGTTCTATTTTAATAGTCATAATATACATTGGTCATATGATATATAATGATAATTTTAGTTAGAAAAAACATCATAAATGGTCCCTATGGTTTCTACATATATGAAGTTTAGTCCATGTGGTTTAAAAACATCATAGATGGTCCATGTGCTTTCCAAACTTTTGACGATCGGTCCTTATTGGTAACTCCGTTAAGTTTTGTCCGTTAACTGAAATGCATTTTCGTCGTTTCACTAACATAGTGACCATTTAAGATTTAAGATGTTTTCACTTATTTTAAAAAATAAAAAATATAATATGCAAAGGTCTCTCTCTCAAAGTGTACAATCACCATCTTCATCTTCTTTATCCATCATCCCAAAAACCTTAAAACCCATAATCATATTCATTTCTTACTTTACTTTTTTCTTCTTAGGCTGGAGGGAGTGGTGCCACCGAAACCGCACTCCCTCCCCCGCCACATAAGCGTCACGTCATTTTTTACCACACAAGTGTGGTTTCTTACCATACCAAGGGAGTGGTGCCACACTTTTATTTATGTTTTTTTTTTTTTTTTTAGCTATTTTAATTAAAACTTCTTTTTTAATAAAAAAACATAATTTTTCATTACTTGAAAATTAAAAAAAACATTACATTAAAAATTCAAAAAACATTACATCGCATTATACAAAAAAAAATGACATTAAAATAATCCTAAAAACTTAAAAAACAAATGAAGATCGAGAGAATATGACATTTTTGAGAAAGATTGGTGATTTATTTTTAAAAAGAATAAGAGAAAAGGTGTTGTATTGTGGTTAAAAACAAATGAAGTGTATATGTATATATATAGGAAAGAAAGGCAAAAGAAAAAAGAAAAAAAATGCAAACGCATTTAACGGTCAAATTTACCACCAACCAATCACAAACCACGGTATTTTACAACCGCACTGCGGCCAAAACCGCACAAGACCGCAGCCTGGGGGCGATGTGCGCGGTCCAGGTGGCACAAACCGCGGTCCCAGGCCGCGGCCACACCCTTCAACCTATCCTCACCGTTTCTTAATTTTGGTGGAGACGGATTGAAATATGAGCAGATACCGACACAAACCCACTTACTCCAACTCACAATGTACCTCAACTCCACTGAAACAATTTCAAATACCTATTCTTCAATCTTCATCTCTTCGACTTTTAATTCAACCCAAAATTGACCACCACCAACGGTGGCCGGAAAATCTAAATCTCTTCCGTGGCAAACTCCACTTCTTACTTTACCTTTTTCTTCTTATCCTCACTGTTTCTGCTACAGATCAACAACGCCAAACCACATCCATCGTTCGAGTTTAGAACGACGCTAAAAATGAAACAGATTGTTATGCTTAAACTTTGGTCCACAACATTTCTAACTAAGTTCATCACATTCAAAGAGTAAGCTTTCATGAAGTAAAAAATATCAGTAGTAGCATCTAAATATGGTTCTTCAACGCAGATCAAACAGCTTAAATCCATCAATTTTGCAGCTTGAGGTTCATAAAATCATATTCATCCACAACCATGTCATCATTGGTCATGAAACATTTCGACAATTAACCAAACCATGGATTTAAACATCATTCTTGTTTCAAGATTTCACTCATGCATTTTATCAAATACATATCGTGCATGTAAAACCACTAAACAGAAACTTGTTCAGATTGACGATCTGTGAGCAGAGAAACTTAAAACGGTTGTTCAACCTTGATAAGGAAAACAAAAATCTAAGTTGCATTGTCTAAAGTTTGGAAAACAAAAACCTATTTGTGAATGACGGATTTTCAACATCGTCTACATAAATCTTATTACAATTACTACTCTTCGATGGGTTTACATTAATAGTTACATCTCCAGCCCCACTTGATTTCATGTAATTTAAGCTCACATCTGGCAGCGGAGATGGAGATGGAAAACCCGATTGGTCGCCACCGCCACCGGCGGCACCATTGTGGTCAATCTGTGGTGGAGATGGCGGTGGGGGTTTCTCGGCATATGTGGTTGAAGATGAGTCTAAGATTACTTCTCTTTCTGCGAATTTATGATGGGCGATTCCTATGTTTTGAAGGGATTCAACATAAATAACATGTGCTGCTGCTAAATTGTACCTTGAATCAATTGCTTGTTTGATGAACTTCTTTCTCTCTTTGCATAATCGCAAAGCTTCACAAGTCTCTGCTTTTGAACTCGAAATCCCCATTTTTCAAATCAATTCACTCCAGCATTAGTGAAACGAAAACCCAGAAACGATATGAAACGAAGAACAAAGAGGAGAAAATCTGAATTATGTTCTTTTACTTCTACTTAAACCACGAAATGTTAACAGAGAAACACGAAGAACCCTAATTTAGAGGCAAAACAAAAACTTTTACATATTATTTTTTTATTTTTTTAAATAAGTGAAAACATCGTAAATAGTCCCTATGGTAGTGAAATGACGAAAATTCTCTTCACTTAACGGAGTTAGCAATAAGAATTAATCGTCAAAAGTTTGGAAAGCACAAGGACCATCTATGATGTTTTTAAACCATATGGACTAAACTTCAGATCTTAGAAAACCACGGAGACCATTTATGATGTTTTTTCTTTTAGTTAAAAAAAACTATAAAGATAATAAAAATAAAAATAAAAAATGTATCATTCATAGAGTTGACAATATCTTTCATGCTAACTAGTAAAGAACCCGCGGCTACGCCGCTATTGGGGTAATATGGAAAAAATCGGCAAACTTTAAAAAATATGTGCTGAAATTGTAAATCACCATAAATAGGGGAGAAATTCGACAACCCCTAAAATTAGATGTCAAAAGTGTACAACAAAAAGAAAGGACATTGGTGGAGAAAATCCAAAAATGTTGTGGCAATAATGTTAAAGTTGGGAAAATATGGTGGCAAAATT